TTATTTTTAGCTATATTTTGATTCATTACTATACATTTGAGGATGGATTTAAAAAGGCTGAAAGTAGTCAGTTCTTGACATTTATTATATTCTTGAGTATATTAGTACTTTGGTACGAGTTTGTAAGTGTATACTAATTATTCAATTTTGTATTATTGCAAATTCTTTTTTCCATCTTTTGACTATTAATTTTATGTATTTCTACCAGGTTTTACTATTGCGTATATTCGAAGGTACAGTATTTTTTGCTAATAATTCTTATTAAAGGTTGTTTAAACTTACATTACGTATATTCAAATTTAGATTTTGCGCAATATCTGAATATACTTTTAAATATTATCATTAAGATACGGCAATTTTTAATGTTTTTTATTCTAACTATTATTGCAATGGTAACATAATTATCTTTAGGTGATTGTTTTAATTTTTTTTCATATTAACACAATGTTTGCAATTTAATTATTATATATTGCATTACCAGGGACATGCATTGTGAGTTTTATGTTTGGTTTTATTTATCTGACTGTTATCTTAAATTATAAAGCTTTAAAATATCAATACAATTATGTACACCTAAATTTATTCTTCTTGGTTATCCATATTATATTGGACTAAGTCAATCTTCGACAATGTATGAAATTACTAATGGGAATCCAGTTTATACTATGACCGGAGAGATATCAGATAACCCATTTCTATACTTGCGGTATACGATTGGTATTCAATTTCGTTAGATGTATAGAATTTTTGGCCACTTACTATAATTAGTGTAATTGGCAGTTTTTTTTTTGTGATTATATTACAAAATATAATAATTTCATTCATGGGGTATGTTTTTGATCTTACAATCAATCTATTATGATTATTTTCACTGACTTCTGATTTTTTTAAAAAAGGTGACGCTTTTTCAGATGCAGCCAAAGATAGTAAACGTGGTGTATATGGTTTTCAAGTTGACTTGATTTATGATTTAAAAAATCATTAGAATTTAATGACTTGGATTCCAAATTTAAAGATAAACTAAGAGCAAAATATATCTGCTTTTATAATGATCTGTCTATTACGAAGTCATGGAGTGAAAAATCAGAGAGAATGAAGTCAAAACCATATCCTAAAATGCCAAAATTACATAATAGTGGATTTAAATATCGGCCAGTTGAAAGATGTGAATTTATTTGGAAAAAAGAGAAAGAGGCTCTAAATTTGACTGCAGAAGTTGAAGATCTTGAACATCAAGTTCTTGAAAATTTAGAAGCAAGCCAAAAGAAGTTGTAATTAATGAATGATCCAAGTTTGCTTACCAAGATAACCACCTGCAAATGACATAAGTTGGAATTTTGGTCATATCTAATTATTATTTAATACAGATTACCCCCGTCAATATCAACCTCGTTAATATCAACCTAAGCCTTAAAACAAATTTTTATAAATTTTATATATCAAAATTCCCTTATATATATCAACTTTAATATGATTTCTCGTTAATATCACTATCAACATGATTTAAACCCAATTCAAATAGGTTGATATTAACGAGGGTAACCCGTACTTGTATTAACTGTATAGTTTTAGTATATTCAAAATAAATTTTAAATAACTTTTTGTAAAAATATAGTAATATTCTTATTTTTTAAAAAACATTGTTTAATTAGTTAAGCCAAGCCAATCAGCTTAGTTTCTATTACAGCACATTTATAAGTGACTATATACACTAGAGATTTTGGCTGTCTATAATTTTACAGACGATGTGTATAATTATTAGAACATTTTCACTTTTTGCACCCGATTTATACTCTTGAAAAAACTATGGAAAATGATTATTCTTTTATCTCCATCTCGGCTCCTCACTTTTCTTGTCTAGGTTGTCTGAATTGTTCCGAATGTTCATTTTTAAAGATCATATAAAAGAGCAGATGGTAAATGGTATAACTTTAATTTAAATTTTTATGAAACCTTTAAAAAAACATATCAAGCATATGCTTTTATATTGAATATTCAGAATCATTATGGTTCATCTATCTATATTAGTCTGGGATTTTACTAAATTAGAAAATCATTGCTTCAATAAACTATTACATTATACTATACAGAATTGGTAAACTTGTTTTTATAACCCGACCTGTTAAAGTATAACAATTTTTTATATTTTAGTAATCAGAGATTTGTTAAAAAAAAAATTATAAAATTTTATATATAAAATTTAAAAAAAGCTGGCTGGCCAATTCATTTTCTTATAAAATTTAGTAATTAACTTTATACGTACTTAGATAAAAATTTATACAAATTTTAATATAAAATATTTAAACTCAGGTTGGATTTACTTAAGACTACCTTGGGTTCATTTGAATCCGGTTTGGAGTTTGCTTAAACCTAGCTTGAGTTTACTTAAACCCAGATTAGGTTCACTTAAACATGGCTTAAATTCGCTTGAATCTGGTTGGGTTCACTTGAGCCTGGCTTGGATTTATTTAATGTGGCTTAAATTTACTTGAATTTGGCTTGGGTTTACTTAAACTCAGTATTACCTCTATTTAAAATCAATGTCTTAAACCACCTACTGGTTGACTCACGTATAACCAACGGGTTAACAAGTGATACCCAAGACCAAATATGGAAATAATTCTAATTTTATATACGTTTTATAGTGAACAACACATAAAGACTATACAAACTTTAAAAGTTAATAATTTTTTAATTTAAAAAAGATATTTTAAAAAAGAAGCCACGAATTTGTAGCTAAATCAATTTATTACAACTTTGCATCCTTATTTTTTTTAAAAAGTATAAAAACTTTTCAAAATATATAGCTTTAAAAGTAGGCAAATTATATTTCCACGCCCCTTTTTTGTTATTTCTACACCCCATGTAAATAATTTTTTTAAACCTTTAATCAAAGGTATCTTGATGGACACCTGGCCAAATCTGATATTTTTTTTTTATTAGAATTCTACAAGTCTGTAGAATTCAAATAAAAAAAATTCATTGAAATTGGTAAGGTGGTTATTGAAATACCTTCAATCAAAGTTAGAAAAAATTTTGTTACAGCTATTATTTTAATAAACATTTAGATTTTTTAAACTTTGATCAAAGTTATCTCAATGACCAACTGACCAAATTCGATATATTTTTTTTTAAATTCTACAAACTCATTGAATTCTAATAAAAAAATTTGGTCAGGTATATAGAGATATCTTCGATCAAAGTTTTAAAAAAATCTTAAAATATCTATCAAAATTTTAGCTACAACAAAAGTTTCTCAAACTTTGATTAAGGTATCTCAATAACCATTTAACTAATTTTGATGCATTTTTTTTATTTGAATTCTACAGATACATGAATTTAAATAAAAAAAAAATTATTGAATTTGGTCAGGTGGTTGTCAAGATATCTTTAATCAAAGTTTAAAAAAATTTAAACATCAATCAAAATAATAACTGGCAAAATTTTTTCTAACTTTGATTGAAGGTATCTTGATAATCACCTGACCAATTTTGATAAATTTTTTTTATTTAAATTTTACAGACTTGTAGAATTCTAATAAAAAGGCTTTATCAGATTTGGTCAGGTAGTTATCAAAATATATTTATTAAAAGTTTAAAAAACTGATTTATATAGAGGAGTGAAAATATAAAAAGGGTATTGAAATATAATTTGCCTAAAAATATAGTATTTTTATATTATATAAAAAATTTAAACAAAAATGGAACAAAGCACATATTTTAGCTTCTTGTTATTGGCAAATTTTAAAATTACTTTTAAAATATTTTTTATTAATTAATTTTGACCAATCAGAATATAAGAAATCAAAAAGGTATCAAATTTCAATATGAAATTTTTGAAAATAAAACAAATTATGTAAATATAGTCTTTAAGTATCTTGCATCATACAATATTTTTTAAAATTTCATAAATTACATTTTTATCTTGCTTTATAATAATATTTTATAAATTTATCTAAATTCAATTTTATTTATATTTTTTTTATAGAATGAAGCCTGGTCTTGGTTTTTATTGAATAATTATATATTATATTATTTAAATGAGTTACATAGATTATTACAGGAGCCTATAGCTAAAACTAATTTATCTTTAGCCTAAAGTTTTACTAGAGTGGGCTACTTGGTCTCTATTAGATTTAGTTTTGCTATATACAATATAGATATTTTAGTTGTAGAGAACAACTATTTCTATTTTTTATATTTAGTTGTACTAATTTGAGTATAGGAGAATGAGATGGGTATAGTAGTATATAGGTTTGTTATAAGTCTATTATGGTATATATTTTTGCAATATTCAAACAATATTTGTTTGTATATATTAGTTGATATCTTGTACAAAATCTTAATAAATATATTGTTTAAAATAGAAGTGATAGTTGTAGAGTATTAGATGTATTTGTACTATTTATAAAAAATATTTGTGCTAGTACTGCTGGGTTTGGTTACTAGGTGTCCTGTTTTGTATAATACTTTTAACTGTTTCTACTATTAGTTAATATAGTGATAATGAATT